CCCCCCTTCCAGGAAAGCCTCCACATGAGCGTCCAAGATAGAGCTCTTCAGCGGATCATGCAGATTGAACCTCCCGGTATGGCCGAGGGAGGGAAACTCGGTGCCACTCTCACCCAGGGATACAAAAACGAACTTGCTCTTCCACCCATGAATGGACGAAGGCAAGTCCGTGAAGCTCCTCTTCTTCGGCAGCTGTTGAAGAGTAGCATAGGCCGCACAGTTCTTGTGGCTTCCTCGGCCGATCTGGTACAGATTCATGAATAGGGCCGTCGTCGGCCTGTAGCCCAGCTCCTCACACCGGAGCAAAAACCCCACCATCAAAGAATAGCTGTTCGGCGTCAGCAAGGCCGGAGGGAGCCCTACCATATCCAGATATTCAGTGATGAAGGGGTGAAGGGGGAACCTCAGCCCCTTGGCAAAACTCATCGGGTATACTCCAAAGTATCCCGGTGGCGGAAGAAGAACATGGTCCGTCGGCCTGGGTGCCCTAACCCGCCCGTACGGCCCCACGTACATCTGGGCAACAAGGTAGTCGGCCGCGCTGCTCTCTGTCTTAATCAGGAAGATGTTGGTGAGATCCAGGTAGGAGATGCCCGGCCCACTCTTCGGCCTCCTCACCCTCTTCGGCTTATCTGCTCCCTTCACGGCAGACACCGGCCTCGGGCAGGGAATGACAGCGGAAGTGGACGCCCCGTCCACCACTCGGGACGCACCTGCGTCCTCACCTTTTGAAGACGAGGCGGACTCCTCGTCCTCAACTTCGTCGTCCACCGGCTCTTCGGATTTGTAGGGACTCAAGTGTTGTATCTCCTCCTCGAACTCCTCGAGCACCTCATAATCGAGTGACCTAGTGGAGGGCTGGTCGTCGTACGGATAGTAGTCTTCGTTCAAGCTCTTCACCATAACTACTACTACGAGCCTAAGGAGATTAACTTAGGATCTAAGGGTGTTCAAACGCCTAACACTAGATCACTAGCCTAGGAAGCAAAGTATGAAAAGTGCAGAAGATTGCGATGAACACTAACCTTGAACACGAAGAACACGAAGAACAAGCTTGGGAGTTTATCTCTCTAGAAAATTGGCCAGCACTTCGACAATTCAGAATGCAAATGTGGTTTCTCGTCGGAGGGGGAGGGGTATTTATAGAACCCCCCACCCAACGGTCACTACACGTGGCACCCTCCCAATGGCCACATCAACGGCCACCAATGGGAGGCCACCACGTCACCAACGAGCCAAGCTACATATCAAGAGCCCAATGGCGGATCAGACTCTACGGCCTACACACTTGCCGGCTTCACAAGTGCCAGCAAACGCCCACAACGGCCTGTTCATTTGCCAAGCTCACAAATGCCAACAATAAGGAGATGACAACGGCTACGAATGTCATGAACGCCCATCGACTCCCTGTAACGACCCTTGATGATAACTCTCTACAAGCGATCTGCGCACAAGGGTTCTCCCACAGGGTTACCTTGGCCAGAAAATCGCCATGAGGGTTGGATTCAGGGGGGCTACGGAGAGGCCGCTTCGGCCAGGGACTCAAGCAACTCCTTCACCCCTCACACTCTTCGGCCTGAAGCAGTGGGGGACTGGGGGACTACACCGGCCTCAGCAAAATAGAAAGGAGACAATACAAAGTACATGAATGTAACCATAAAGCATGGCCACATCGTCCATGCATCACAAGGGAACCTCATCGGCCAAAGACCCATAACGTCATTAGCAACGGCCAACTGGCCACCTAAGGCAAGGACACTCATCGTCCTCCGCCAACAGTTAATCATGATGGGCTCTTTGGCCAAGAACACGAAAGCAAATCAACGACGGCCAAAAGGAGTGCGCAACCACCCTCATCGGCCACCCAAAGGAAAGGACGCCATCGTCCTCGAAGCAAGGATCAACCTCAACGGCCTCATCGGCCCAAAGGTGAACTTCAACCATCAACGCCCAAGAGAGGAAAAACGTGCCTTCAACGGCCACCATTGAAAGCATGACACTCATCGTCCCCAAACGAACACATCAAGGAAACAACGGCCTCCCCGACTACAGCGAGGAACAGGTAACGGCCAAGGCACAGAACAGGATCACCAAAAAGGAAACAACGCCAACGCCGCAACAGCTAACGGCCTGGGAATGCCCGCATCGGCCAATAGCACGGGAATCTACTCTCCTTCACTTCGTCTACGTCTCAGCTTAGAGAGTTGGGGACTCCTGATGGAGTATATGGGTCTGAGCCCCTGGACCCACATACTCGGAAGAACAGAAAGCACAAGACACAGAGTGGCGCCCTCGTCGGCCAAGACGCCCCCGTCGGCCGAAAAGGTGCCAACTCAGATTATGGCCCTGAAGCCAAGGAACCCGGGTGCCCTCGCCGCCCGCGCCCTCGTCGGTCGTGCCCTCGTCGGCCACGCCCTCGTCGACTACGAAGACTCCACAGAACCGGATTCTACACTTACTTATTTGTACAGCCCATTAGTGGCTTTGTATTCGGCCCAGCAGCGGTCCAGTTGTAAATGGGCCTCCCAAGCCCAAGGCTTGGGAGCCCAGCCCGTATTTTCTCTATAAATACTCCCCTTGGGAGTAGTTATAGGGGTTACAAATTCATTCTATTGAAGCATATATTGCACTTCTCTCTCTAGCTCTCACTTCTCTCTAGATATACCCTATCAAATTTATATGATGTATAATTATAGAAGAAAACCCTATTCCCATTACCTAGCTCAATAATGCCTAAGGTGAGACCATAGGAGTTTGTATTATTCTCTAACCAACACATTCACTTATTCGTGACCATAGACTTTATATTCCTGGGCTACAAGCCGTGTGGACCATCCTAGAGTGGACCTATGGTGCCATTCTTGAATACTTGCTATTTTTAGCAGGTTAGGCCCAAAATAACATTTGGGCTGCCCGACCGTTCTTATTTTGCATCGAAGGGTTACATATCCTTATTTACACAGTGTTGGGATCGTATATCTAATAAGATTGCCCGGTTAAGTATTTGTAATCCCATTACTATTATATGAGCTGAAACAGTAATATGATTAATCATGCATCACGTAAAACATTAACCGTTTTACAATTGTTCAATAATAGGGAAATTCAATACATAAGCTTTGAATTTTAAATTTGAATTTCAAGGACGCTCGGGTACGGTGTCACAAGTTCACCTCCCCTTAACAGAAATTTGGTCCCCAAAATTCACAACTTTATTCAAATGGGAAAGCATACCGCTTCCTCATCAAAGCCTCTGTTTCCCACGTCTCTTCTTCAACCCGATCACTTTTCCAAAGGATTTTAACCATTGGAACCTCTTTACTCCTCGGTTTCTTCACCTTTCTATCAATGACCCTGATCGGTTGCACGGCGTAGTTCAAATCCTGACGTATTTCCACCGGCGGCTTTTCCAATACATGAAAAGGATCATGTACATACTTCTTAAGTATAGATACGTGGAACACATTTTGTATCTTCTCTAACTATGGAGTCAACTGTAGACGATATGCTACGACCCCAATTCTCTCCAGAATTCTGAATGGCCCTATGTATCGTGGATTAAGCTTCCTTCGGCTTTGGAATCGAATGATTCCTTTCCAAGGAGAAACTTTCAGAAATACCTCATCATCAACCTTAAACTCTAAGGTTTTCCGACGCTTATCTACATAACTCTTCTATCTATCCTGAACTGTTTTGAGTCTCTCTCGAATCAACTTCACCTTTGACTTGGTGATCTCAACCAACTCAGTACCCTCGAGTTTGGCCATGCCAACCTCATCCCAACATAACAGTGTACGACATCTCCTCCCATACAATGCTTCGTATGGAAGCATGCCGATACTTGCCTGATAATTGTTGTTATAAGCAAACTCCACGAGTGCTAAGTGGTTGTCCCAACTTCCTTGAAACTGTAACGCACAAGCCCTCAACATATCTTCTAAGATCTGTATAACTCTTTCAGACTGCCCATCCGTCTGTGGATGGAAAGCAGTACTGAACTTCAACCTCGTTCCCATAGACTCTTGAAATTTTGGTCAAAAATCGTGGGTGTCTATCAAAGGGAGAAGTTGTTTCTCTTATCACATGGTGTGGACTTTGACGTTCGTTCTTTCATAGTCGACATTGTAATTTGCTTCATTTTTTGGTTAGCCACCGCTGCATCTCTTCTTTTGGTTTAGCCTCATCAGAGATCTTTGGGGTGGCGGTTTCTGCCTTTTGAATTGCTAGGAATATGGTGCAAATCGGTTCTTCTTCTTCTTCTTTTGTTGTTGTTTTATGACTCTTATTTCCTATGCATTGGTGGTCCAATATAGCTGATATTCTCAGCGTGGGCCGTGGGGAGGGGCTTATCACTCATAGCTACAACTCAAACTCGGTTATTTCCCATTAATGGTTGAACTTCACAAGTCACGTTCGTTTGTTTGATGTCTATTGTCTCACCAGTTTTGTCTAGTCAGGAGATTCTATCTTTCTTCTTATGAGCTATGTAGAGAATGACATAGACATAAATATTGTTTTTGACTTCACATACTTATACGACTGTTCGGAGCAAAGTAGATAAATGAATTTAGTTTTTATGCATATTGTATCGGCTCGTCCTCTTCCGAAAACCACCCTCGCGTCAGCAAGAAATTTTCGTAAAAACAATACTTATACGTAGTAGTACTTAACATTTTTCTTAATATTTAATATTAACATTTTATCATAAAAAACGAAACCAACCATATAAGTGGGACCATGTTGATTTTTTTTTATCTTAGATTGGGATGAGTATGGGTCCACTAATCGCAATAATAATTTCCCACCCCCTCAAATAAAACCAGAAAAACGAAAGTTTTTAGGCGGGAAGTTTTGTGAATTCAAGCCCGCTCCTTATTGTTCCCTCCGAAAGCACGTGGATCACTACCGTAGGCTCTCCCCACCGTTGATTAACATCAAATCAACAACCGAACGACCTTCACCAACCAGCCAGCCACTCTGATTTAACTATAAAAGAAAAGGCGGAAGCGTAAATCTTCATATCTCAGATTCACGCCATTTCAACGATCTTTCTTCCTATCCAATCCTTCAGCGTTATTCTAAATATCTTATAATGGATACTCAGCCGACGAAAGTGAAGAAGGGCGCCGCCGGCAGGAAAGCAAGTGGCCCGAAGAAGAAGTCCGTCACTCGTTCCGTCCGCGCCGGACTCCAATTCCCGGTGGGAAGAATCGGCCGCTACCTGAAGAAGGGCCGTTATGCCCAACGCGTCGGTACCGGAGCTCCGGTTTACCTGGCTGCCGTTCTTGAATACTTGGCCGCCGAAGTATGGTTCTACTCCATTTCTCGTCAATCCCGCCACCGTTTTCTATTTTTTTGCTGATTTACCCAGAGCTCTTTCTCGGTCGTCTGATTTCATTTTTGCGTTGGGTTTTGGTTTACAGGTTTTGGAGCTGGCCGGAAACGCAGCCCGGGATAACAAGAAGAACAGGATCATCCCAAGGCATCTTCTGTTGGCCGTGAGGAACGACGAAGAGCTCGGGAAGTTGCTGAGCGGAGTAACCATCGCCCACGGCGGCGTGCTGCCAAACATCAACCCTGTCTTGCTACCAAAGAAGAAGGAGTCCGATGCCGCCGGTAAGGAACCTAAAAAGGCCGGCAAGTCTCCGAAGAAGGCTGCTGCTTAAACGGCTTTATAGTTGTGGATTTGTTACTGTAATTCCAGTGGAAATGATAAAGGCTTATATTTTGTACTCTGTAAACGTTGGATTGGTTATTAATGAAGCTTCATTTCTCTATTTATGGCGTTTTATTGTTTAGTTGTGAGAAGATTGAGAAGAGATTTGTTGAAATAACGTAGAACTCTTACGGAACAATCAATATAAACAAAAAAGTTACTCAAAATGCAACGGATGTTCAATAATACACGCATTAATCATGCAAGCCTTAAAATGCAAGTGTTTATAATCATATACAAATCCACACAAGTTCTGTCTAATCCTAATCCTCTAATTCGGATTAGGGTATTAGCTTCTCTCTCTATCTTTTTCGATTAGGCAGCTCTTTTGGTTTGGGGTTTTTCCTTGTGATCAATTTCTTGATGTGAACATTTTAAAGGTTGAGGTTAAAGGTTAAAGGTTGAGGTTAAAGGTTGGAACAGATTTAAATGAGATCATTTGTGATTGATGGTTCGTCCTCCTCTTGATACGCCGCCATAGAATGTTGGAGAATTTAGGGTTTGGAAGAAAACAAGAGAATTTCGTTTTGATCTAATTTTATTTTGTTTGTATTTTATTTTGAAATACATGTTGTTTTGGTTGTGTTCTTTCTCGATTGGAGTTTTTTGATAAACAGAGTTTTGGTTCCGATCGTTGTGGACTTAAATTTACCTGTTTCAGGTTAGCTGTATGAAGTGATTGACTCTAAATATGCTCCTAAGATTCACGATTGTATCAATAAAATCTATCTTAAGGTTATTTTGTATGCGTTCTTGTTTTTTAATATAAAAATCGCTCTTTAACGATAAAAAATAACTCTAATTATTTGCTTCATCTTATACTTATACCCACTCCTGTATTATTTATAGTTGTTCATTATGTAATTATTACTGTGTCTAATCCTTAAAGAACAAAAAAAGCTATCAGTAAAACCATGAAATGTCAGGCCACATTTTCCTGCTCTCCACGATATTTTTATTATTTTCAATCCTAACTCCTAATGAGTCGGTAATTATATTTATATCTATATACGATGTATTATACAATTGTGAGTCACATTGAACAAAATATTCGTCACATGACCCATATGTCATTCTATTAAAATGCATAACCACATGTCTAATGTATGGTACAACCAAAAAATATGTTTTAATATGCATTCTAATGTATGGTACAACAAAATATTCGTCACATGACCCATATGTCATTCTATTAAAATGCATAACCAATTGAGTGAGTTTCAGTCCTGATTATTCCACCCCAGCCTCCCAGACCCCTCTGGAGTAAAAAAAAAAGCATAACCACATGTCATTTTAAAAATGAATTCTATCTATCAAATTGTGTATCCCTTACTCCTTCATATGTTTTACTATTTTTCCATAAATTAAAAATAATTATTAATTTCCACCAAAAAAAAATTGTCATTAATTAATATTAATTAATAATATACCATATGAGTATGAAGTAAATGTGTATATGATAATATCGTTGTACATCATCCAACATAGTATGCGCATTAGTTTATCAAATTGGGATCTCGAGACACAAATTTAAAAATATGTATTAATTGGCACTAAAAATCATCACATATAACGTATGACTTGAAAAAAGTATTCATTATATTGATACTAAATATATTATCGTAATAAATGAATCATTCCATTAATTAGGGTATATTTCAACAAATAGTTTTGATGATTATATACTATAATGATGTCAAAGATGATAATTGTATGTAATGTTATAGATGTATTATTTTTAATATTTAGTGATTAAGTTTTCATATAAAAGTGTTAATCATTTCCTAAAATTGAAATGAGAACATTTAGCTGAAACATTTAAAAATGACACGTGAAAACCCTAAACAGGGATGAGTGAGTATTATTACACAAAGCTATGTTATAATGCAAACTTTTAATTGGAATGTGACAAACAACCTCAAATCACTCAATTGGACCCAAATTAAAAAAATCTCTCTTTTTAAATCACTACTCCTTTTTATTTATAATTCAATTTTTATAAAAAGATAATAAAAATTCATAACAGTTTTCATATGACACAAATATTGCATAGACAAAAATAAAAATAAATAAGAAGACCAGATAGGTGAAGGGTTTTAGACTCACAATTTTTTAAGTATACTCGAGCTCTAAAATTAAAATCTCATAATTGCATAGCGCGATTTAATGCTGCAATTAGGGGACATTTTGTTTATTGGTTGAAAGTGTTAATAAGAGAACATTAAGTTCTAAAATGTTTTATGTAAAACAACTCAAATCGAATCAACCGAATATATAATTGTCACAAGTATTTTCTATTGACACTTTCAGTCAATAAATAAAATGTTCCCTTATTGCAGAATGAAATTGCTTTATACAAACATGAGATCTTAGAGGTCATTTGGTGACTCATATATTCGGCTATTAGTTTTACTAGTTTAGTAACGCGCGTTGGACGTTCGTGGTAATGCCCAAGGTCATTGTAGAACATTAATTCCCCAGTTTATGTTGAACGAATATATGAGCAATAGAATACAATATTTGAATACGTAGTTTGTTATTTATTGATAAGGAACTTTAAATAATAAATTATTCACTTTTGAGTACAAGCAAAACAATAGTTATCAGACATGATAGCTATTAATAGGTTGCCTGTTTTGATAAGTAACCATAAAGAATATATTAATTGATTAAAAGGATAAAGAAATAGATTGGCCCCTCAAGAAGGATCAGACAGGACTCAGGATGCACATGACACACATTAAACATGCATTCTGCTTTCCATTAGCTATCAGCTTTGTATGGTACAAGAAAGAATCAGTATTCATTCTAATGTTTTTTTACATGCATCCAGACTGGGAAACAACTTGTGTAGTGAATACAACTTGCAGTCAACATTTTTCCAAGAGTTATCCAATCTTTTGGTTGAACATAGGCTGATCTAAGCAATGAAGGCCCCAAATATCCGAAAATATTCTAAGTGTTTGGCTAACTTACAACTCAAAGGAATGGAGGAGAATGTATTATATTCCACTTGATAAAACATTACAATTGGTGGCCTTATATAGGCATTACAAGAGGAGTAAAATAATCCCTAGGAAATACAATTTACCTTTCCAAGAAGACCTTTCATCTCTCCAATAAAAGTAGGGAAATATAATTTATGTTCCCTAGGAAGTAAACTAATTAAGATTAATTAATTAATCCCAACAAATTTCTCCCCTAATCTTAATTCTCTTCGGTCTCTCATTCCGAGCCTTTTGCTTGTAACCTTTTGCAACAAGCCGAGCTTTGTATCGCTCGACCATACCTTCAGCATTGCATTTCTTCTTATACACCCATTTGACTCCGATCGGCTTATGACCTCTCGGGAGATTGGTAAGTTCCCAGGTCTGATTCTTCTCAATCGCTTTTATTTCTTCGTTCATGGCATCTCTCCATTTTTCATCGTGCTTGGCTTCTTCAAAAGTAATATCCTCCCCATCGGCTAGAAGACATACCATGTGAACCTCTGGAGCTGCTTCATATATGTCCTGTATGTTTCTGTACCTTTGCCGGCTCGTCCCTTCTTCTTCTTCCTCGTCCCCCGGGGTCGTCATAGATCCCGCCCCGATTGGTTCTGGTGTCATCCCGAGCGGGATTGGAATTTGAGGTCCCGTCCGGGACGTCCTCGTTATTTGAGGTCCCGTCCGGGACGTACTTCTTCTCTGTGTTCCAATCCCAGCTTCCTTTTTCATTTATCTCTACATCTCTGCTCACTGTGATCTTTTTCTCCTCAGGATCATATAGTCTGTATCCCTTTGTCTTCTCATCATAGCCAATGAAGACAAGCTTCTTGCTTTTGTCTTCCAATTTTGTCCGTCTCTGATCGGGCACATGTGCGTAAGAGATACTCCCAAACACCCTCAAGTGTGACACGGTCGGCTTTTGACCACTCCATGCTTCTTGAGGTGTTAGATTTTCAAGATTTGAGTGCGGACACCTGTTCTGTACATACACCGCACATCGTACCGCCTCGGCCCAAAATTGCTTTGGCATATTTTTGCTCTTGAGCATGGATCTTACCATGTCCATAATGCTCCGGTTTTTTCGCTCGGCCACCCCGTTCTGTTGAGGCGAGTACGGGGCGGTAAGGAATCTTCTAATTCCTTCCTCTTCACAAAACTTTGTAAAAGAGTCTGAAATGTATTCTCCTCCCCGGTCTGACCTCAACGCTTTCACCTTCAGCCCGATTGTCTTCTCCACCTCGGCTTTGAATTTTTTGAATGTTTTAAAGGCCTCCGATTTTTCTTTTAGAAAATATACCCAAGTCTTCCTGGTGTAGTCATCAATAAAGGTGATAAAGTACCTTCGCCCACTGAAGGATGATGGCGTGATCGGCCCACAAATGTCCGTATGGACTGTCTCCAATGCTCCCTTGGCTCGGTACTTGGCAGTCTTCTGAAAGCTCGTCCGGGTGTGTTTCCCAAGTACGCAGCTTTCACAGAATTGCTTTGGAAAATCCATCTCGGGTAGTCCATGCACCAAGCCCTTTTTGCTCAGCTCGGCTAATCCTCCAAAGTTCAAATGTCCGAAACGTAGGTGCCATAATAATGACTTGTCCGTCATGTCGACTTTCAAGCACTTATGGTTTACGCTTCTCAAGTCCAACTTGTACATTCTGTTCTTGGCCATCTCTACCCGGGCGACGGCCCTTCCTCGTCTATCCTTCAAGTGCAGGTATCGACCACTTAGGTCGGCTGAATACCCTTTCTCCATAAGTTGTCCCATGTTTATGATATTTGTCTTCATGCTCGGGACATAGAGTACGTTTTCAATCGTCCCCTCTTGTCCACTCTTTTGCAGAAATTTAACCTTTCCTCGGCCTTTGATAACTACTTTTGATGTATCTCCAAAAGATACATTTCCTCCCTCAGCCTCCTTCAACTCAGTGAATAAATGTTTATAACCACTCATGTGGTTGCTCGCCCCGGTATCCAAGTACCACGTAGCGTCGTCTGTCAAGCTTCCTTCTTTGTGTGCTAGTAAGAGCACTCCTTCCTCATCTCCATCATCATCCTCATGCTCAGCAACATTTAGATTCTCCTCCGATTTTGGTTTCGACCAACAGTCTCTTGCGAAATGTCCCCGTTTCCCGCAATTGTAGCATTCCCCATCGGGTCTGCCTCCCCGACCGCCTCGGGCAGCT